TTTCATGAGTATTTTATAGTTTTCTGAGTACAGGTTCTTTGCCTCTTTGGTTAGATTTATTCCTAGGTATCTTATGGTTTTGGGTTCAATTGTAAATGGGATCGACTCCTTAATTTCTCCTTCTTCTGTCTTGTTGTTGGTGTATAGGAATGCCACTGACTTCTGTGCATTGATTTTATATCCTGCCACTTTACTGAATTCTTGTATGAGTTCTAGCAGTTTTGGGGTGGAGTCTTTGGGGTTTTCCACATAAAGTATCATATCATCTGCAAAGAGTGAGCGTTTGACTTCTTCTTTGCCAATTTGGATGCCTTTGATTTCTTTTTGTTGTCTGATTGCTGTGGCTAGGACTTCTAATACTATGTTGAATAGCAGTGGTGATAGTGGACATCCCTGCCATGTTCCTGACCTTAGGGGGAAGGCTCTCAGTTTTTCCCCATTGAGAATGATATTCACTGTAAATTTTTCATAGATGGCTTTTATGATATTGAGGTATGTACCCTCTATCCCTATACTCTGAAGAGTTTTGATCAAGAAAGGATGCTGTACTTTGTCAAATGCTTTCTCTGCATCTATTGAGAGGATCATATGGTTCTTGTTCTTTCTTTTGTTAATGTATTGGATCACGTTGATTGATTTGCAGATGTTGAACCAACCTTGCAGCCCAAGGATAAATCCCACCCGGTCATGGTGAATAATCCTTTTAATGTACTGTTGGATCCTATTGGCTAGTATTTTGGTGAGAATTTTTGCATCCATGTTCATCAGGGATATTGGTCTATAATTCTTTTTGATGGGGTCTTTGCCTGGTTTGGGGATTAAGGTTATGGTGGCCTCATAAAATGAGTTTAGAAGTTTTCCTTCCATTTCTATTTTTTGGAGCAGTTTCAGAAGAATAGGTATTAATTCTTCTTGAAATGTTTGGTAGAATCCCCTGGGAAGCCATCTGGCCCTGGGCTTTTGTTTGTTGGGAGATTTTTGGTGACTGCTTCAATTTCCTTAGTGGTTATACGTCTGTTCAGGTTTTCTATTTCTTCCTGGTTCAGTTTTGGTAGTTGATACATCTCTAGGAATGCATCCATTTCCTCCAGGTTATCTAATTTACTCGCATAGAGTTGCTCATAATATGTTCTTATAATTGTTTGTATTTCTTTGGTGTTGGTTGTGATCTCTCCTCTTTCATTCATGATTTTGTTGATTTGGGTCATTTCTCTTCTCTTTTTGATAAGTCTGGCCAGGGGTTTATCAATCTTGTTAATTCTTTCAAAGAACCAGCTCCTAGTTTCGTTGATCTGTTCTACTGTTCTTTTAGTTTCTATTTCATTGATTTCTGCTCTGATCTTTATTATTTCTCTTCTCCTGCTGGGTTTAGGCTTTATTTGCTGTTCTTTCTCCAGCTCCTTTAGGTGGAGGGTTAGGTTGTGTACTTGAGACCTTTCTTGTTTGTTGAGAAAGGCTTGTATTGCTAAATACTTTCCTCTTAGGACTGCCTTTGCTGCATCCCAAAGATTTTGAATAGTTGTGTTTTCATTTTCATTGGTTTCCATGAATCCTTTTAATTCTTCTTTAATTTCCTGGTTGACCCATTCATTCTTCAGTAGGATGCTCTTTAGCCTCCATGTATTTGTGTTCTTTACAACTTTCCTCTTGTGATTGAGTTCTAGTTTCAAAGCATTGTGGTCTGAAAATGGGCAAGGAATGATCCCAGTCTTTTGGTACTGGTTGAGACCTGATTTGTGACCCAGGATGTGATCTATTCTGGAGAATGTTCCATGGACACTAGAGAAGAATGTGTATTCCATTGCTTTGGGGTGGAATGTTCTGAATATGTCTGTGAAGTCCATTTGGTCCAGTGTGTCATTTAAAGTCTTTATTTCCTTGTTGATCTTTTGCTTAGACGATCTGTCCTTTTCAGTGAGGGGGTGTTAAAGTCCCCCACTATTATTGTATTGTTGTCGATGTGTTTCTTTGCTTTTGTTATTAATTGCCTGATATAATTGGCTGCTCCCATGTTAGGGGCATAGATATTTACAATTGTTAGATCTTCTTGTTGGATAGACCCTTTAAGTAGGATATAGTGTCCTTCCTCATCTCTTATTACAGTCTTTGGTTTAAAATCTAATTTGTCTGATATAAGGATTGCCACCCCAGCTTTCTTTGGGTGTCCATTAGCATGGTCAATGGTTTTCCACCCCCTTACTTTCAATCTGGCGGTGTCTTTGGTTCTAAAATGAGTCTCTTGCAGACAGCATATTGATGGGTCTTGTTTTTTTATCCAGTCTCATAGCCTGTGTCTTTTGATTGGGGCATTTAGCCCACTTACATTCAGGGTAACTACTGAAAGATATGAATTTAGTGCCATTGTGTTGCCTCTAAGGTGACTGTTACTGTATATTGTCTCTGTTCCTTTCTGGTCTATGTTGCTTTTAGGGTCTCTCTTTGCTTAGAGGACCCCTTTCAAGATTTCTTGTAGGGCTGGTTTCATGTTTGCAAATTCCTTTAGTTTTTGTTTGTCCTGGAAGCTTTTTATCTCTCCTTCAATTTTCAATGACAGCCTAGCTGGATAGAGTATTCTTGGCTGCATATTTTTCTCATTTAGTGCTCTGAATATATCCTGCCAGTCCTTTCTGGCCTGCCAGGTCTCTGTGGATAGGTCTGTTGCCAATCTAATGTTTCTACCATTGTAGGTTACATATCTCTTCTCCCGAGCTGCTTTCAGCATTTTCTCTTTATCTCTGAGACTCGTAAATTTTACTATTAGATGTCGGGGTGTTGACCTATTTTTATTGATTTTGAGAGGGGTTCTCTGTGCTTCCTGGATTTTGATGCCTGTTTCCTTCCCCAAATTAGGGAAGTTCTCTGCTATAATTTGCTCCAATATACCTTCGGCCCCTCTCTCTCTTTCTTCTTCTTCTTCTGGGATCCCAATTATTCTAATGTTGTTTCGTCTTATGATATCACTTATCTCTCGAATTCTGCCCTCGTGATCCAGTAGTTGTTTCTCTCTCTTTTTCTCAGCTTCTTTATTTTCCATCATTTGGTCTTCTATATCACTGATTCTCTCTTCTGCCTCATTTATCCTAGCAGGTAGCACCCCCATATTTGATTGCACCTCATTAATAGCCTTTTTGATTTCGACTTGGTTAGATTTTAGTTCTTTTACTTCTCCAGAAAGGGTTTCTCTAATAACTTCCATATTTTTTTCAAGCCCAGCTAGTATCTTTAAAGTGATGATTCTGAACTCTAGATCTGACATCGTACTATTGTCCATATTGAGTAGGTCCCTGGCAGTTGGTACTACCTCTTGTTCTTTTTGTTGAGGTGATTTTTTCCATCTTGTCATTTTGTCCAGAGGAGAATAGATTAATGAGAGAACAAAATGCTAACAGGGTAACAACGTCCCCAGAAAATATACTCTAAACAAATCAGAAAAGACCTGAAGCAGTGGGAAAAGAAAGGGAAAGAGAGAAAAAAGAAAAAGAAGAAAAAGATAAAGATAAAAAGAAACAAAAATCAGAACAAAACAAAACAAAAAACAGAATATGATCAAATATGATCAGGCTGGTATGTAGGTCAGTGCCACAACTAGATTTTGGGTGTGTTTTGGTCTGTTAGAAGAAAGTACCTCCCAAAATTTTAAAGAAAGAAAAACTTATATATGTACAAAAATAAGGGTTGATATGATGAAGGGATGGAATATGACTGTAAAGGTGGAAAGTATAAAAAATTTTATAAAAGGAATTGATAAGAAGTTGTTTGAAAAAAGAAAGAGGATTTAAAAAAAAAAAGAAAAAGGAGGGAACGTGATCAGGCAGGGGAGTAGAAAAAAACCGTACACTAGAGATTTAGGGTATATTTTAATCTGTTAGAAGAAACTATCTCAAAGTTTTAAAGAGAGAACAAGTTATATATATATATGCCAAAAATATGGGTAACTACTAGGAAGAGTTAGAATATGACTCTAAAAATGAAAAAGAAAAATATTTTTTAAAAAAGGAATTGATAAGATGTTGGTTGAAAAAGGGAAAAAGAAAAATTCAAAAAAAAAAAAAAAGACAGTTAAAAAAAAATTAACTTTGAAAGACTACAGAGTCATGGTAAAAAATCCATGAATTCTATGTGCAGTATTCCCCTAGCGCTGGAGTTCTGCCGTTTTCATTGATCGGTAAACTTGGTCTTGGCTGGCGGTTCTCGCTGATCTTCCAGGGGAGGGTCCTGTTGCCATGGTTCCCAAATGTCTTTGCCGGAGGTAGAATTGCCCTGCCCTTGCCTGGTCTGGGCTAAATAATCCGTTCAGGTTTGCTCTCCGGAGCTTTTGTCCCCTGTAAGCTTTCCGTACAGCTTTGGAGGCGGAGAGTGAAAATGGCGGCCTCCCAATCTCCACCTCGGAGGAGCCGAGAACTCGGGGCCCCGCTCCTCAGAGCGCCCCCAGAAAAAAGCCGTCAGTCACTCCCATCTCCCTGGTCTCCGGCCACACTCTGTGCTCACCCAGCCTGTGATCGCGCATTTCTATTTCTGGCACCCGACCCCGGGTGGAGTCTCCAAACCCAGCAGATCCCTGTGGTGCACTCCCATGCCTCTCCTCCCAGGGGAAGAAGGTGAGTCTCCCCAGATCTGCCGCTTGTTGGGTCCCTGCTGGAGGAGTAGTGGCCCGACTGTGCCACAGATCACGGTTTATGACAACCCCGAGCTGAGAATGCACGCCTGGGCTCCGTCTCCACAGCCTGCTTCCCCGCTCAATACCTGGGAGCTCTGTCACACTCAGGCACCCCCGGTCTTTCTGTGACCCCGAGGGTCCTGAGACCACACTGTCCCACGAGGGTTCCACCCTCCGCTTAGCCACCGAGTGATGTCCCTCAGCGGAGCCGACTTCTAAAAGTTCCAATTTTGTGCTCCGCGGCTCTATCACTTGCCAGAAGCGGCTGACGGAGGCCCCTCCCCCGCCGTCTATCCTCCCAAATATTGCCTCAGATTCACTTCTCTGCACGTCCTACCTTCCAGAAAGCGGTCACTTTTCTGTTCAGAGAGTTGATGCTATTCTTTTCTTCAATCTCCTGTTGAGTCTGTAGGTGTTCAGAATGGTTTGATCCCTATCCAGCTGAATTCCTGAGACCAGACAAAATCCAGGTCTCCTACTCCTCCACCATCTTGCTCCACCCCTCCTAAAGGGAATTCTTTAAGTGGAAAGATAAGGCCATAACTAGAAGAAAGTTCAAAAGGAAAAAAATTTACAGGTGAAAGCTAACATAGTAAAGGTAGTAGATTAATTATGTATAAGCCAGTATGGAAGTTAAAAAACAAAAGTAGCAAAATCAATTATATCTACAAAAATTAGTCAAGGAATACACAAAACTTAAAAAAAATGTAATATATGTTTTCAAATACATAAAACTTGGAGGGGGAGTAAAAATTTAGTACTTTTAGAATGTGCTTGAACTTAAGCAACCATCAGCTTAATATAGAGTACTATATACATAGGATGTTATTTACAAACCCAACAGTAACCACAAATAAAAAAAATCTGTAATAGATACACAAAAATAAACAGAAATCTGAGGATAATATTAAAGAGAGCTGAGCCACAAAGAAAGAGAGCAAAAGAAAAACAAAGAAACAGAGAACTACAAAAAATTTTTTTTAATTTAATTTAATTTTATTATGTTATGTTAGTCACCATACAGTACATCATTAGTTTTTGATGTAGTGTTCCATGATTCATTGTGGCAACAAGTAGATACCTATCAATAATTACTTTGAATGTAAATGGACTAAATGCTCCAATCAAAAGACATAGGATGTTGAATGGATTAAAAAAAAGGGGGGGGTAATGTATCTCTGTGCTGCCTACAAGAGACTCAATGTTAGACCTAAAGACACCTACAGACTGAAAATGAAAGGATGGAAAAAGATATTCCGTGCAAATGGAAACAAAAAGGAAAAAAAAAATCCAGTGTAGTAGTACTTACATCAGACAAAATAGACTTTAAAATGAAGACTATAGCAAGAGACAAAAGATATTACATTATGATAAAGAAATCAATTCAACAAGTAGATATAACAGTTGTAAATATCTCTGCACCCAAATGGAGAAATCATCCATACAGAAAATCAACAAGGAAACAATGGTTTTAAATGACACATTAGACCAGAGAGATTTAACAGATATTTACAAAATTTTCCATCCAAAAACAGCAAAATACATATTCTTTTCAAATGCACATAGAGCATTTTCCAGAATAGATCACACTGGGCCACAAAACAAGTCTCAATAAATTTAGGAAAATTAAAATCATATCAAGCATCTTTTCTGACAATGGTATAAAACTAGGTATCAATTACAAGAAAAATACTGGAAAATGCAAACACATGGAAGCCAAACAGCATGCTACTAAACATTCAATGGATCAATGAAGAAATCAAAGAAATTTAAAAATAGAGAAAAATCAAAATATAATGCAATGGTCCAAAACCTTTGGAATGCCACAAAGCAGTTCTAAGAGGAAACAAGAAAAACCTCAGGGGCACCTGGGTGGCTCAGTTGTTAAGCATCTGCCTTTGGCTCAGGTCATGATCCCAGGGTCCTGAGATTGAGCCCCGCATTGGGCTGTCTGCTCAGAGGGAAGCCTGCTTCTCCCTCTCCCACTCCCCCTACTTGTGTTTCCTCTATCACTGTGTCTCTCTCTCTGCCAAATAAATAAATAAATAAATCTTTAAAAAAGAAAAGAAAAAGAAAAATTTCAAATAAACATACAGGAACTAGAAAAAGAAATACAGTCAAGCCCAAAGTTAGTAGAAGAACAGAAACAATAAAGACCAGATGGAAATAAAAGAAATAGAGACTAAAAAAAAAAAAAAAAAAAGAATCAATGAAACCAAGAGCTGGTTCTTTGAAAAGATAAACAAAATTGATAAACCTTTAGCCAGACTCATCAAGAAAAAAAGACAGAGAACTCAAATAAAATCAGAAATGAACAAGGAGAAATAATACCACCACAGAAATACAAAGAATCATAAGAAAATGCCATAAAAAAAATTGTAAAAAGTATGCCTACAAATTGGACAACCTAGAAGAAATGTATAAATCCCTAGAAACATATAATCTTCCAAGACTGAATCAAGAAGAAGTAGTAATTGGAATAGAACAATTACTAATAATGAAATTGAATAAAAAAAAAAAAAAGAAAGAAATTGAATCAGTAATAAAAAAAACTCCCAACAAACAAAAGTCCAGGACCAGATGGTTTCATAGGTGAATTCTACCAAATATTTAAAGAAGAGTTTATACCTATTTTTCTCAAACTGTTACAAAAAATAGAAGAGGAAGGAATGTTTCCAAACTCATTCAGTAAGGCCAGAATTACCCTCATACCAAAAACAAAGACACAACAAGCCAGTATCTCTGATGAACACAGATGCAAAAATCTTCAACAAAATATTAACAAACCAAATTCAACAATACATTGAAAGGATCATTCACCATGGTCAAATTGGATTTATTCCATAGATGCAAGGGGAGTTCATTATTCACAGATCAATCAATTATGATACATTATATTAATAAGAGAAAGGATAAAAACCATATGATCATTTCTAGATGCAGAAAATGTATTTGACAAAGTATAGCATCTATTCATGATAAAAACTCTCAACAAAGTAGGTTTAGAGGGAACATACTTCAACATAATAAAGGCCATATGTGAAAAACTCACAGCTAAGATCATACTCAATGGTGAAAAACTGAAAGCTTTTCCTCTAAGACCAGGAACAAGACAAGGATGTCTGCTCTTACCACTTTTATTCAACATAGTACTGAAAGTCCTAGCTGCAGCAATCAGACAAGAAAAAGAAATAAAAGGCATTCAAATTGGTAAGGAAGAAGTAAAACTGTCACTATTTGCAGAAAACATGATACTATGTTTAGGAAACCCTAAAGATTCCACCAAAACACTATTAGAACTCAAATTTAATAAAGTTGCAGGATACAATATTAATGTGCAGAAAACTATTACATTTCTATACACTAATAACAAAATAGCAGAAAGAGAAAATAATAATCCCATTTACAGTTGTAACAAAAAGAATAAAATGCATAGGAATAAATTTAACCAAGGAAGTGAAAGACCTAAACTCTGAAAACTATAAGACATTGATAAAAGAAATTGAAGGCTACTCAAACACATGGAAAGATATACCATGCTCGGGCACCTGGGTGGCTCAGTTGGTTAAGCGACTGCCTTCGGCTCAGGTCATGATCCTGGAGTCCCTGGATCAAGTCCCGGATCGGGCTCCCTGCTTGGTAGGGAGCCTGCTTCTTCCTCTGACCCTCCCCCCTCTCATGTGCTCTCTCTCTCTCATTCTCTCTGTCTCAAATAAATAAATAAAATCTTAAAAAAAAAAAAAAAGATATACCATGCTCATGGATTAGAAGAATTAATGTTAAAATGTCCATTCTACCCAAAGCAATCTATGGATTTAGTTCAATCCCTATCAAAAGAAGAGTAGCATTTTTCACAGAACTAGAACAAATAATCCTAAAATTTGTATAGAACAACCAAAGACTTCAAATAGCAAAAACAATCTTGAGAAGAAGAACAAAGCTGGAGTTAGATATCACAATTCCAGATTTCAAGATATACTACAAAGCTATAGTAATCAAAACAATATGGTACTGGCACAAACATGGACACAGATCAATAGAACAGGCTAGAGAGTCCAGAAATAAACCCACACAAAGATGGCTAATCTATATACAACAAAGTTGATGAGGATATATAATGGGGAAAAAACATTCTTTTCAATAAATGATGATAGGATAATTGGACAGCTGTATGCAAAAGAATGAAACTGGACCACTTTCTTTCACCATACACAAAAATAAACTCAAAATGGATTAAAGACATAAATTTGAGACCTATGACCATAAAACTACTAAAGGAAAACATAGGTAGTAATCTCTTGGAAATCAACCTTAGCAACATGGATGCTCTTCAGGCAAGGGAAACAAATGCAAAAATAAGCTATTGGGACCTCACCAAACTAAAAAGCTTTTGCATGGTGAGGGAAACCATCAACAAAGCAGAAAGGCAACTACTGAATGGGAGAAGATATTTGAAAATTATATATACAGTCAGGGATTAATATACAAAATATATAAAGAACTCAGCAGGTGATGGGTATTAAGGAGGGCATGTGTTGTGATGAGCACTGGGTGTTATATGCAACTAATGAATTGTTAAACACTACATCAAAAACTAATGATGTACTATATGTTAGCTAACTGAACATAATAATAATAATAATAATAATAATAATAATAATAATAACTCATACACCTCAACAGCAAAAAAAAAAAAATCCAATTTAAAAATGGGCAGACTTGAGTAGACATTTTTCCAAAGATGACATACAGGAGGCTAACAGACACATGGAAAGATGCTCAACAACACTTTTTTACCAGGGAAATGTACATCAAAACCACAATGAGGTATGACTTCACACCAGTTAGAATGGCTACTATCAAAAAGACAAGAAATAACAAGTGTTGGTAAGAATGCGGAGAAAAAGAAACCATTATTGGTGGGAATATAAGTTGGTACAGCCACTGTAGAAAACAGTATAGAGTTCCTCAAAAATTAAAAATAGAAATACCATATGATTCAGTAATTCCACTGGGTACTGAATATTTACCCAAAGAAAATGAAAACACTAATCTGAAAAGCTATATGCACTCCTATGTTTATTGCAGCATTATTTACAATAGCCAAGATATGGAAACAACCCAAGTGTCCATTAATAGATGAATGGGTAAAGAATATGTTGTATAGAAATAGACAATGGAATATTACTCAGCCATAAAAAATAATGAGCTCTTATTTGCAACAACATGGATGGACCTAGAGTGGATTATGATAAATGAAGTAAGTCAGACAGAAAAAGACAAATGACATATGATTTACTTATATGTGAAATCTAAAAAATGAAACAAATGAACAAACAAAAAAAAGATGCTTAAGTACATATAACAAACTGCTTATTGCCAGAGGGGAGGTGGGTTGGGGGGAATGGGTGAAATAGATAAAGGTGATTAAGAGGCACAAACTTCAAGTTATAAAATAAATAATTCAAGGGGATGAAAAGTACAGCAGGAAGATATAGTCTATTATATTGTAATAACATACGGTGACAGGTGGCAACTACATT